AGGGTTCTTTTAAGGAAAAAAGGGGGGTCAAAAAAAAATAAAATGAAACGAAACAAAATATAGGTGCCTTACTCAGAAGAGTGCTGTCCACCAATGGGGCAGTAAAAAAAAAAAAAAAACAAAGAAACCAAAACTAAAGCACACAGCAGCCCTGTTGGAAGGCACTGGGACTTAAAAAAAAATTAAGCACGCAGTTGCCTATCAGAAGGCACTGGGACTTTAAAAAACAAACAGAACCAAAAATAAAGCACACAGAAGCCCCATCGGAAGTCACTGGGGCGTTTTAAAAAACCTGAAAAGAGCACACAGCAGCCCCATCAGAAGGCGCTGGGGCTGTAAAAAAAAAACAAAAAACAAAGAAACCAAAACTAAAGCACACAGCAGCACCGTTGGAAGGCACTGGGGCTTTAAAAAAATGCATGCAGTTGCCTATCAGAAAGCACTGGGACTTTAAAAAAAACAAACAGAACCAAAAATAAAGTGCACAGTAGCTCCATCAGAAGGCACTGGGGCTTTTAAAAAAAAACTGAAAAGAAAGCACACAGCAGCCCCATCAGAAGGCTCTGGGCCTTTTAAAAAATAGCCAAAAATAAACAGCACAGCAAGCCCCATTGGAAGGCACTGGGGCTGAAAAAATAAACACACCAAAACACACAAAAAAAATCACAGCACAGAAAGATAGCCCCCAGCCCAAACCCACCCTGCAAAACCCTGTAAATGTACTTACTCAGAACCAGAAAGCAGCACCAGGCAGTCCCAAGCCTCCTCCGATGCACACACTCTGTTGGGGCAAAAGAGCTACAAAGAAGCTCTTCCCCAACCAACGATTAGCCCTCTAATTTGAATTCCCTGCCTTTTTTCCCTGCCTCTTTTGATCGCAACTCGAAGCTCCAGCTGCAGGTCAAAGCAAAATTTTGCAGCCGGAGCTGGTCGCAGCTCAGGAATGGTCGTATGTCGGGACAGTCGTAAGTAGAGGCACCACTGTATTGTGAATAACTAGTGTGGTCACTACCTGCTGGAAAGAAATCCGGATAATACCTTCAATTATGGGACAACAAGACATTCTCAAGAATATACAGAACATTATACTTAATGGACTGCACCAGATGAAAACAGAGATGGATCAGCTATTTAAACAAATTAAAGATGCAGGAACACAAATGGAATTTACAGTCAAGAGAGAGAAAAAAGTGAAACTACGACAGGGAACCATTTTTTTAAAACCACAAACAGAGACAGACAATTTTATTTTTAAACCCCAGAAGGTTCTAGAAGAAAAAGGTGAAGATACAATGCAGCAGAGAGCCAATTTGTTAATCCCCTTTATGGAGATGTCAACAGCATCAAATTACTATGAACTTTGATAATGAATGGGAGAAGAATCGAGATGATGGGAGACATGTTGTGGCAGATGAGACAAGGGAGACAATATCTGGAGTGGGTGAAGCTCCTGAGAATGGATGCATGGTCCATAAGATGGAGAATGAAAGACAACATGATAAGAGGGGCACAAAATATTGGTTAGAATATGGAGATAGAGCAGTGGAGATAAATGTTGTTAAATCTAAGAAGGTATTTTGTTGTGAAAGAATATATGATAAAAAAAGACAAATTAATGGTTATAACAGTGATTTAGCAATAGAGCTATTTAGAAT